GTCGCACGCACGCCGTGCGATGGAAAGAAAGATTAATGACGGTGAACGGGCGGTGCTCGAGTATTCGCGCCTTGATCGCTTTTGTTCTCCTAACTACCCCCTGTTAGTGCTCGTTAAACCGATTTGCTAGTTCCCGAGTAAACAATAGCGACTCGCATTATGGTCACGACAATATGATGCAAATATGAAACTACAGCGTCATCGCCGATCGATTATTAAGTTTGACTTCAACGTGTCTGGCTAAATTAAATTTACATATTATATATATATATATATATATACGTTATGTTACACGTTAGATTCCATTTACGACTCGTTACGTACGTACGATAATCCCTGAATCGATCGAATCTTATCTTTTCCCTGGAAAAAAATTGGATCGAGTAGCGTAAAGCTCCATTGCTTCTAATCAAGGAAACATACATACACATATATATGTATATATATATATGTATCGCTCGAAGAGTTGTCGTAGTATCTGTTACAGGTTCGTTAAGACGGCGTTCCGACTTTCGCCCAACTTTAACCCGGCACACGTATGCGAGCATTCGAGCATGACGTGAAAATTAAATTCCGAGAATTGACTTGCTCGTATCTCTCGATATCTCTCATCGGCTCGCCCTACAAATTGAATCCGTTCCTTCCCTTCCTCCCTAATGAGGTTCCCGGATCTGCAACGAGACGTAAAGGACGTACTGGATCGAGAATTATAAACGCTATTCATTCCGCTGCGAATTTTCCGTCGGCACGCCGTGAGATGAAGCGCGTGTTCGTATAATGATTTTTCTCTCGTCGCATATCTTCGTAGAATTCGATAGGGTTTCGCGTTAATTACGCGATAGGACTCTCTTTGTAATCGATTAAACGATCTCGAGCAACAACTCCTTTCTATTATTCGACGATCCCTTCCTAACGGTTTAACGCGATAAAAACACGTAAGCGATTCCTTAACGTTTATATTTTATACTTTCGGTTTTACGTATACTATATGTAATATACATTATGTACGCGTTTTACGAATTTTTTCAAATTTTCTTCGACGAGACGATCGACGAGTTTCGATCACGAAAGAATCGTTACTCGTTTTCGTTTCTCCTCTTGCAGCTCTTTATCATCGCTATTAAAAAATGTAACGTTCAATTATCGAAGCGGTCGATACGGATTGAATCCGCTCGACAACGAACAATAAAGTGCGGTGCTTCCATCTCTTGTTGTTGGTAACAATTACTTGCTCCATCCTCAGTAGTAGAAGCTACTGCGGTCGGGCACAAGTAGATTCGGTTCGTTCTCGGTCGGACATTTACCGAGTACAATGTTCCAGTCGCGTTCGATCCGCGCAACGGATAATAAATACAAATCCCGTTTGAAAATCGATCGATTGATTGGAAAAATTTTACCAGGAGGGAGGGAGAGAGAAGGAAGAGGAAGGAGAGAGAGAAGAATACTCGTACTTTAATTTTCGAGATCGCGTGAAAGAAAGAATTAGAAGAATCGAAGGTATTCCCTCCCCTCCCCCGAGCATCGAAGCGT